TGGAGGTGTGTAATAGAAGTGTTTAGCAATTACACATCTTTTTTTTCCCTCCTTGGGTGGTCAGCCTATGAAAGAGACATTCCCTCACAGCCTCTGCTCTCCCACCAGACTAATTACAATGGCAGTAGATTCTGGAAGATTTGAAGATCTTGAATATCCTTTCAATGCCCTTGAAAGCACCCTGCTCCTTTTGCTGGGACCCAGCTTGTTGCTGTATATGCTCTGTATGTTTTGCCTATGGCGTGACCACCCTGAGAATGACCGATCTTGTGCGATAATGGAAGCTAAGCAGGGACTGTCTCGTGTCTCATCTAGGATTAGCCGACGATATAGGAGGACCACAAAGAGATTTTCCCCGAGGATGGACAGTCATGAGTGGCAGGGTGTGTGGGACTGTATGGGCAAATATCTAGTCCAGTGGGCCCGTCCAGTTCCTTGGAAGCATTGGAGATGGAAGGCAGCTGTACGGAGTCCCCAACGACAAGTTGCAGAAACTGCTGAAGGAGAGGGTGAATCGAGTCAGTTTGCTGAGGTGGAAGCCATCCAGCTGGCCTTGGACATTGCTGAATGAGAAAAGTGGCCAGTACTTTATCTCTATACTGACTCATGGATGGTGGCAAATGCCCTTTGGGGGTGGTTGCATCAATGGAAGCAGAGCAACTGGCAATGCAGAGATAAACCCATCTGGGCTGCTGCCCTGTGGCAAGATATTGCTGCCTGGCTGCAGAACCTGGTGGTGAAGGTATGCCATGTAGATGCTCATGTACCTGAGTCTGGCCACTGAGGAACACCAGAACAACCAACAAGTAGATAAAGCTGCTAAGACTGAAGTGACTCAGATGGGCTTAGATTGGCAACATAAGGGTGAATTATTTTCAACCTGGTGGGCCCATGACAATTCAGGCCATCAAGGCAGAGATGCAACATACAGATGGGCTCCTGATCATGGGGTGGACTTAACAATGACCACTATTGCTGAGGTTATTCATGAGTGTGAAACACGTGCTGCACTTAAGCAAGCCAAGTTGTTAAAGCCTCTTTGGTATGGAGGACAATGGCTGAAGTAAAAATATGGGGAGGCCTGGCAGATTGACTATATCACACTCTCAGCAACCTGCCAAGGCAAGTGCCATGTGCTTACCATGCTGGAAGCAACCACCGGATGGCTGGAAACATACACTGTGCTCCACGCCACTGCCTGGAACAGTATCCTGGGCCTTGAGAAACAGATTTTTGTGGCGACACAGCACCCCAGAGAGAATTGAGTCAAACAATGGGACTCGTTTCCGGAACAGCCTTATAGGCACGTGGGCCAAAGAGCATAGCACTGAGTGTGTATATCACATCCCCTACCATGCACCAGCCTCTGGGAAAATTGAACGGTACAATGGGCTGTTAAAAACTACACTGAGAGCAATGAGTGGTGGGACTTTCAAACATTGGGCTGCGCATTTACCAAAAGCCATCTGGTTGGTGAACACCAGAGGATCTGCCAACAGGGCTGGCTCACATCAGTCAGAACTTTTACGTACTGTAGAGGGGGTAAATCCTGTGGTGCAAGTAAGGAATTTGCTGGGGAAAAGGGTCTGGGTTATTCCTGCTTCAGGTAAAGGCCAACCCTTTCATGGGACTGCTTTTGCTCGGGGGACCCAGATATACTTGGTGGGTAATGCTCGAAGATGGGGAAGTCCAATGTGTACTTCAAGGGGATTTGATTTTAGGGGAAAACAGCCAATGAACTCAATTTTATGCTGTTGCCTGCTTTGTAGCACTTTTATAGCCCGCCAACTTGATGTCTTCAGGTCACCAGCTACTGGCCCTGACTTTCTTCCAACCATCATTCAAAAAAAAATGGATTTTGATGAAACCAGATGAGCTCAGCAGTGGCCAGATGAGTTCCACGATGTCATCAGCAGGCAACAGTCCAATACTGCACACCATCTCTCCTGCTCTGAAAGACTGTTACAATAGATGGAGCCTGACATCATGGACCAGATGAACTCAGCAGCTTTATAGGGATTGGTCCATGCACTAAGGAATGATATCTGTGTGTGTGGATGTATATATATGAGACAAGAATGATGGTATATTGAAAAGTGTGGGATGTGAGCATGACATGAATTATATGGAATAAGGGTTGGATACTGTCCTGGGTTCAGCTCTAGCAGTCATTTTTCTCCTTCTTAGTAGCTGGTGCAGTGCTGTGTTTTTGACTGTCACCCTGGGAACAATGCTGATAACACTGATGTTTTTAGTTGTTGCTATGTAATGTTTACTCTGGGCAAGGACTTTCTGAGTCTCATGCTCTGCCAGGGAAGAGGGGAAGTTGGGAGGGAGCAGGGACAGGACACCTGACCCAAAACAGCCTGAGGTATTCCATACCACAGCACCTTACATGGTGTGGACTGGGGGCAGTTACCCGTAAGGGCTAGATCACTGTTTGGGTCGGGTTGGGCATTGGTTGGTGGGTGGTGAGCGGTTGTATTCTCTTCCCTTGTTATTTCCCTTATCATTATTATTATTGATGGTAGCAGTAGTGTTTTGTTTTTTTTTATACCTTAGTTACTGGACTGTTGTTATCTCAACCCGTGGGAGTTAAATTCTTTTGATTCTCCTCCCCAGTCCCTCCAGGAGCTGGGGGAGGAAGGGGGGGGAGTGAGCGAGTGACTGCATGGTTCTGGGTTGCTGGCTGGGTTTAAACCACAGCAAGATTGTCCATAGTGTGTTTAAAATATTAGTGGACAGCCATGACCAGATAGTCAGCAATAAGTGTTGAACTTGCTGTTCAGACCATCTCCACATCAAGCTCCATGCTCTGAAGGCCTGTGTGTTCTGGGGCTTAGAAGACAACAAAGTTAGACTTCTTTGAGAGACTGGGTTTGGTGAATATATTCATAAAGGTGGAGAAATAGTGTTCCATTTCAGCTCATACTACAGTTACTTCCTGGTCAAGGCAGGCCTTTTCTTGTTAAATATGTAAGCGTTTGTGGAAATATGCTTTCTCCTCAGATTTTATTGAATGCTTAACTAGCACATAAAGAAATTAAGTGTTGGGGTTCAATTTTGGCCAACAAAAATGTATTTTTAAAGTGAAGAAGAGATTTAGATGATAATGGGTCTGCCTTAATCTATATGAGGTTCCCAAGTATTGACAATCAGTGTTTAAATTGTAGCATCTCATTGCAGTTACTGAGTACCCATTACGTGTGAGTGCTAGTGAGCAGCTGGGTTTTGAACATATCCACGTCTATGTGGTCACAGGAGTTTGCTCAGTTTTTATCGTTCAGTGTTACTGTGCATTGAGTTCGGTGATAGCCAGCCTGCACCAAGGCTGCTGCCCTGCCAAGGTGCATGCTGAGGCACGTTCATACATTGGGGCTGCAGTAGAAGTGTTTTGTTGCTTCTTTGTACATCTCCTTCTACCCAGGTGTACCACTTGCAGGTTGTCCTTAATTCCCTAAATGTGCAGTTTTGCTTCCAAGTGTAATGGTGACAGAAGCCAGGTAGTTGAGTGACTGTTCTGATCAGCTGAGAGATCCATTTTATCTTATCATACCTATTCTAAACTGTGCTTTTCAATTAGCCTTATGTTAGATGCTGTACAAGCACAGGGGAATAATAAATTCCTTGTTTCAAAGTAATTTTAATGCTAGAGGATAAAAGAGAATAAAAGTTGACTGCCTCAGTTTGGGTAGCAGTGATGTGTGTGTGTGATATTTGGGTTTTCTTTAGGGTTTCTTTGTTGCTATGCAACAAAGGTATGTTTAGAGCAAGGTAATAGGTAGTTTTGTAAGTAATTTCTGTAAATATGAGGGAGAACAAAAGAGAAATAGTAGCTGGATTTAAAGGTAAGGATCATCTCTCTTATAAATGAGAGGCGAGAAGTAGATTAAATGTTAGTCATGACCTCCATATGTGTGCAGGTGTTGTAGTTTAAGCCCAGCTGGTAACTCAGAACCATGCAGCTGCTCACTTACTCCTCCCCTTCTTCTCCCATGCTCCTGGAAGGATGGAGAGGAGAATTGAAAGAATGTAAATCCCACAGTTTGAGATAAGAATAGTCCAGTAACTAAGGTATAATACAAAACTACTGCTACCACCAATAATGATAATGATAAGGGAAATAATAAGGGGAGAGAATATGAAACTAAGAGGGGAAGATGAAAAGAATAAAGACATGTGATGCACAGTACAATTGCTCACTACCCTCTGATCAACACCCAGCCCGACCCAAGCAGCGATCTGGGCCTTCTGGGTAACTCCCCTCAGTTTATATACTGGGCATGATGTGCTGTGGTATGGAATACCCCTTTTGCTAGTTCGGGTCAGGTGTCCTGTCTCTGCTTCCTTCTGGCTTCCCATGCCCCTCCTCACTGGCAGAGCATGAGACAGAAGAAGTCCTTGGTTGGAGTAAGCATTACTTAGCAACAGCTAAAAACATTGGTGTGTTATCAGCATTGTTCTCAGACTAAAGTAAAAAACACAGCACTGCAGCAGCTACTAAGAAGGAGAAAAATAACTTACAGATGAACCCAGGACAGCAGGAAAGCAGTTTGATGATGGGGAAGAGGAACTGCCATGTTTGTGAATGTGATTTTTTGCGTTAGTGTTCTGAGAGGGTGAGAGTGATTAAATTCCAGGCATCAAATCAAGACAACAGGCATTACAGTAATTAAGAGTGATACAGCTGGAGCTGAAATTTCAGCAAATGGAAAAGTCTATATGTTAAATCACTGTGAAAAGGTATGATATTTATATGTCCTCTGGAAGTACAGATCTAGGCAGATCCAAATCAGCTGTCAAACATGTGTTTTATCCATTGCATTTCCCCCTTTATAGTAAAGACTGAGATAAATCCAGTAATAGTGTATTAAAACTGCTTTCTCAAGAGTCTCTGCATGGGGTTCAGGTTAAATGCAGGAAGAGTTCAAGTTACTGCATTTGCGTGGTATCTGGGTATCGAATCAGTACCCTGTCCTAACTCATGCTCTTTTTTTTTTTTATTTTCCTGTCAGATTTTTGATTTTGTACATACATTGTTTTGTATATACTATATATGATGACTTCAGTGGGCAGTGAACGTACCCGGGGCACTCGGGGCAAAACACAAATTTCAGCCACACAGCCAGCACAATCACAGAAGCAAGTAGTACAGGTATGTAATACTATATAATTTGAGTTGAAAGTGTGCATGTAATGATATGTATTTCTTCATAAGTCAGTACAAATTGAGAAAATATGAGGGGAGGAATTACAAACTCTTTTGGAAGAGTATGTGTGGATTTAGAAAGTGGCTTTCAGCAGATAAAACTGAATTTGGCTTTGTTTTATAACAAGGCTACAGGAATATAGTGAGCAGGTTGACAAAAGTGGTGGTTTCCCCTTTTTTGACATTTGTAAGACAGCAGTGGAGTGTTCTGCCCAGTTTGGGGTTCCATGGAACAAGGCAGACATTGGCAGATAGAGCAACAGAAATGTATGGGGGTTTACTATTCGATTACTATGGATTCATTTTTCTGAATGTAGAATAATGTTGCTTTCCCAAATGGAGATTTCATATCATAATGTCTCATTGATCATCATTTCAGTTATTTAAGAAATTGCATCACAGTTCTTTTGCATTGCTTCTGGATAATAAATATACCATTTTATTATAAGATCTGGACCTATTACTGTCACTTAATTTTGTGTTTTGCACATTTCTGTTCTCTGGTAGTTTGAAGTTGTTAATTTCCTGCATTCTGTTATGCTGCAAAAATAATATATCTTGTAAGGTTGAGCAAAATTTTAGCTGTCTTAAGATGCTGCTATTTTCTTATAGTTGCAATTAAAACTTAATTATACTCTTTTATAGGATACTACAATGTTACTTTTACTGCTGGTGCCTTAAAAATACAGAACCACCAGTTGCTGGGGAAAGAAACCAAAACTTGGTGACATTGATTTGGTGTTTGTATAGTAAACACCTCTTGTGGCTTTGTTGGGTTTTTTTCTTCAGAATCTTCAGTTTTCATCTGGGTGTAATCCACTGGCATAAACATTAGTGATATCACACCTACTTGTTTCTAAGCTCTCGCCTTACACAGGAAAACTGAAGATACTGTCAAACATTTGATATTGTCTTAAATTGGTATATTTTTGTCTTTTAACATTGACTTGAAAAAAGTTGATTTATTGAAAAAAAATGAATCTTATCGGTTTCCTGTTTCTGGTCAAATATGCTGTCATGTCTACAGAAATTGCGTTGTCTAAACGTTTTTATTCTGGATGCCTTTAAAGGAAATCTCTTCACTAGGTTAAAAGTTGCAGTGGGTCTGAGGAGGCTTAAATCAGAATGAGAAGATAGATCATAGAATCATAAAATCATAGAATAGTTAGGGTTGGAAAGGACCTTAAGATCAAGTTCCAACCCCCCTGCCATGGGCAGGGACACCTCGCTGTAAACCATATTACCTAAGGCTTCGTCCAACCTAGCCTTGAACACTGCCAGGGATGAAGCATTCACAACCTCCCTGGACAACCTATTCCAGTGCCTCACTACCCTAACAGGAAAGAATTTCCTCCTTATATCCAATCTAAACTTCCCCTGTTTAAGTTTTAACCCATTATCCCTTGTCCTACCACTACAGTCCCTAATGAAGAGTCCATCCCCAGCATCCCTATATGCCCCCTTCAGATACTGGAAGGCTGCTATGAGGTCTCCACGCCGCCTTCTCTTCTCCAGGCTGAACAGCCCCAACTTTCTCAGCCGATCTTCATATGGGAGGTGCTCCAGTCCCCTGATCAACAGGGCTTAATGTCCTGAAACCAGCAGACCTTTTGCTTTTGCTCTTTGCTGAGCTCTCAGCAGACCCCAAGAGCAAGCTCCTTCACACAGAGTACTGTGATTGCCAGGAGGCTTTCATAGAGGGTGGGAGGGGTGGTACCAGGGCTGTCATGGGGTATTCCAGAGCAGGTTCTCCCCTGTGTTACCAAATGATGTATGAAGCTATCAGCATGACACTTTGAAAACGTGAAGTAGTGCAGAGTACTTAACTCCATTACAAATGCTAATTGTCTTGGAACATAGCCTCTGAGCACAGCAAATGTCGCTTCTCTCAAGGAACTGGGACAGCTTCAGTAACTTCTCAGCAGATAAACAGCTGGTGGTGTACGGTAGAGTAATTTTTAGACTCTTCTCAGGATTTACACTCAGTGACCTCCTCTAGAGCTTGTATTTATTTAACTCCAAAAGTGAAGCAGTTTGAGGCTGATTAAGCCTGAACTCATGAGGCACAAAATTTCATGTGGGTATCCTGTGAAGTGAGACTGAAAGGTGTAAATCAACCAGTTGCCCAGGATGAATCCTTTCCATCAAGAATTTCAGTGGATGAAGTAGTTCCTCTTCTCAATGAAGAAGTTATCTGCGGCACATCAACTCGCATTTTGGGTCTTGGCTCTCTTCAGTATCAGCCTTCTCTAGTATGAGATGGTAGCCTCTTCTGTTTGAGCAGAAATCAAATTAGGTCCAGCAGTTATCTTTGGTATTTTCATGGGAGTGCAATTGAATTAGACTGCAAATGCCACACTATGAAGAGTGGCCTGTATGATGAGATGTTAATGTTCTTGAGTTGCTTTCTCTCTGGGGCCTATTTGGATCTATGGCACTTTACTGCATCCATCTATTTTAGTCTTTCAGCTTTTGGAGAAGTTGCCAGCATGAATTTGTGGTCCAGAAACATTACATCAGTAGCAAGATCCTTTAGCAGTTTTCAGAGACCAGTATTTGCTTATAAAGAAAATAAGTGTAGCTGTTCACTGGCAAAATGTTGAGGCAAGACTTGATTTCTTCTTAAGTGCTTGTAAAACTAGAGTCAGGTTATTGGGAGAGTTGTGGAAAGTAATGGGAGCAGGAATTGTCAGATGTGGTTAATTTAGAAATACTGGTGCCAGTTTGCTGTGATAAAACTCGCAATTCTGGAGTGGTAGATACTAAATAAAAATAATAATATCAAAGTGTAGGCTTCTGTGATAAATTCTACTTTATTATATGGTTGTCTATGTGGTGACCTTTAACTGTGGTTCAAACAAGTTAGAACATTTTGAAGTTGTTTCTATCCTAGCTAACTTTTTTACTATAAAATGGGCATAGAGGAGATGTTAATCCCCTCCCCATAGCACCTCTGTGCTTGTTGCATATGTTCTTTTTGAGACTCTGGAAATAAAAAGACTCTAGGAGATACTTAAAAAAAATATATTGTTACCTTCTGTGTACTTTATTGGATGTTTGGGTTTTACAGGCAACAGCAGAACAGATTCGCCTTGCTCAGATGATCTACGATAAGAACGATGCAGATTTTGAAGATAAAGTGAAACAAGTATGTTTGTTATGGTACAAAGTTCTTATGCCCTGCAATAATAAGGTGTTCCAAAGTTGGTTTACATTTTGAAGCTAGAGTGTCTGTTTCTGATTTAGACGAAACCTTTTTCAGAAGGACATAAGTTTAAGTAGGAAAAAGTGCTCTTATTGCACTGTAAAGTCTATTTACAAGAAATCGTGTGGAAACATACACACACACACACATATATAGGTATACAGCTCTGGCTGTATAGTTACACTGGTGTATTTTCCTTTGTAGACAAGCCTTTAAGCCAAAGCTCATACCTTCTGGAAGAGGCATCAGCAAAGATATCTCTAGTATGGTACAGATGCTTAATGTTTGTCAGAATAAAGAGTGCATTTAGCTTGTCCACATGTACACTCACATGGAAAAAATGTCACCTGTGTAAACTGAGTTTGCCAGTATCTTGGCTGTTTTTCAGGAAAAGTAAAAGTCTAATAGCTTGAAAGTTAATTTAAGTATTGTTAAAAAAAAAAAATAATCTGACCTTCCAGATCTGTATATGTGTTAAAATTACAGCATTATGCTATGAAAATTAAATCATTTCCTCTACCATGCTGAGTTTTGGGTGTAGGTGCTTGAGCATCCATTACTGAATTATACCTGAGACCATTAATTCCAGCAGTATTGAGAATTCAGGTCCCTGTTGTCTTAGTTTAAACCCAGCTAGACAGCTTGTGCACTCTCTCCCAGTGAGTAGTGCCGGGCTGGAAGCAGTCGAGGACTGCATGTCCCCCCCGGGGGCTCATCCCCTTCCCTGCTCCCGGAGGGATGGGGAGGAGAATCGAAAGAATGCAACTCCCACGGATTGAGATAAGAACAGTCCAGCAACCAATGTACAACACAAATCACCACCACTACCACCAACGACAACGATAAGAGATAATAACAAGGGAAAAGAGTACAATACCACCCGCCGAAAAACGAATCTGACCCAGAAGACGCCCTGTCCTTCTGGGTAGCTCCCAGTTACCTCCTGGGCATGACGTGCTGTGGTATGGAATACCTCTTTGGTCAGTTTGGGTCAGGTGTCCTGTCTCTGCTTCCTCCCGGCTTCCCCTCCTCCGTGGCAGAGCATGAGGCTCACAAAGTCCTTGGCCAAACCAAAATATCATTGTTATCAGCATTGTTCCCAGCCCGAAAGTCAAAACACAGCACTGCACCAGCTACCAAGAAAGAGAAAAATGACTGCTACTGCTAAACCCAGGACACCTGTTCTGCTGTGGATATCAGTGATTTTGTCCTACCGAACACATCACAACTCATGAAGGAGTACACCCAGGAGAGAGGAATTATTGTGAATGCAGTAATGCAGCAGAGAAGATTTCTTGATTTCCTTTGTAAATCTTCTCTGAAGTATTAAGTGCTTTTTGTTGTTCTTGTAATAAAGTTGTTCTGTTGCTCATGTTTTTTTGTGGGGGATTTTTGTTTTGTTTTGTTTTTTTTCTTTGGGTGAAGTTGCTGGATGTCCCATGACAAGACTTTCTATCCCACACATGTCAGGATGTGTACCACAGGCCCATGAAGCATAATTCCGTACTAGGTCTCCTTAAGCAACTGTCACTTATGCCTTTTGTGTGGCCTTATGCTGTGAAATGGATCGAGAGCACTGATCTGGCTGAAAAATAACTTCTTTTCTTAATCTGGATGTTTTTCCAGATGGATCTGTTCTCTGCCATGGCATACTTTATGTCTGTTCTCACACAGTGGGATAAAGAGGGTGATGTTTGGGGAGAGAGAGGATGATACTGGAGTTATCCTGGTCTCTTGCATCTTTACCCTCATATGCTGCTGTCCCAGGAGTGACAGCATTTGCTGTGAGCATAAAGTGAAAGGGGAAAAAAAAAGTGTGAGAGAATGCTTTCTTGATTACCATTTAATTTGTGTTTACTTAGGATTTTAGTTTGCTTTGATGTAGTAACTATGTACGTTTTTAGAATCTGTGGTGATGCTAGCTTTTTTTTTTTTTTTTTGTAATGAGAATTTGGATATTTTAACATGTCTGACTCTTACTGCCAGCTTACTGAAGTGACGGGGAAAAACCAGGATGAATGCATAGTGGCACTACATGACTGTAATGGGGATGTGAACAGAGCAATCAACATACTACTGGAAGGAAGTTCAGACACGGTAAGTTTTGACCTTTATATTATACCGCTCTGTTTTCTGTGCTTTTCTACTTCTTAAAAGTGATTGGCAAAGTCATATTTTGGAGGCTTTCAATTTCCATCTTTCCATTAAAATTCTTATGAGGGAAATGGAGACTGGAGCAACCTCTCTGTTGCATGCATGTCTCAGAGTAGGCTGAACCTTGAAAATGTGGGTGTTCAGCGGGTCTCTTGCAGAGTCATTCTGGCTTTCATTTACATGCAGCAGTTTTAACTCTGCAGCAGAACTTGATGCTATGTCAGACACATGCCTGTTTTTTCTGCAGTGTTTGTACTTTGTAGCACCTCTGCAACCCTGAGACCTGAGTTTGCCACAAAAGGCAGTCTTTATAAACATAAAGGGCAGGCAGATATTTTCAGTTATGTAACTTCTGTAGGTGTGCATTGTCAGTATTGAAGTTGAAGGAGGTTTCTGCATCTGTATATAAATGCTCGGAGCAATGTAGTGATATTCCAGCTGCTCCAGCCAATGAGCCAGCTTCATTTGGAGCTTGGCTCAGCTGCCTCTATACAAACACCCGTAGCATGGGGAACAACCAAGAGGAATTAGACATGTGTGTATGTCTACAGGGGTATGATATAACAGGGATCACAGAAACATGGTGGGATGGCTCTTATGACTGGAGTGTTGCAATGGAAGGTTACAGGCTTTCTAGAAAAGACAGGCCCGGCAGGCGGGGAGGGGGAGTTACCCTTTATGTTAGGGATAGGCTGGAGAGTATGGATCTCTGTCTGGGGACAGGTGATCAGTCAACAGAGAGTTTGTGGGTCAGGGTTAAAGGGAAAACAGCCATGGGAGACATTCATGTTGGGATATGTTACAGACCACCTGGTCAAGAGGAACCTGTGGATGAAGCGCTCTGTAGACAGATAGGAACAGCCTCATGCTTGCAGGCCCTTGTTCTCATGGAGGACTTCAACCACCCTGATATCTGTTGGAGCAACAGTATGGCCCAGCACAAGCAATCCAGGATGTTCCTTGATTGTGTGGAAGACAACTTCCTTCTTCAAGTAATAGAGGAGCTGACAAGGAGAGGTGCCATGCTTGACCTCATGCTCACCAACAGGGAAGGGCTGGTTGGAAATGTGACATGCCAGGTCAGCCTTGGATGCAGGATGGTCAAATTCGAGATCCTCAGGACAGTGAGAAGAGCATGCAGCAAGCTTACTGCCCTGGACTTCAGGAGAGCAGACTTTGGCACTTCAGGAACCTGCTTAGTAAGGTTCCATGGGATATAGCCCTAGAGGGCAGGGGGGCCAAAGACTGTTGGTTGATATTCAAGGATCACCTGCTCCAAGCTCAGGAGTGGTGCATCCCAACTAGAAAGAAGTGCGGCAGGAGGGCCAAGAGATCTCCTTGGATGGATAAGGAGCTCCTGAGGAAAACTCAAATGAAAAAAAGAGGCTTATAAAAGGTGGAAGCGAGGACAGGCGGCCTGGGATGAATACAGGGATGTTGTCTAGGAAGCTAGGGACCAGGTTAGGAAAGCTAAGGCTCAGTTAGAATTAAACTTGTCTAGGGAAGTTAAGGATAACAGGAAGGGATTCTGTAGGTATGTAGCGACTAAAAAACAGACTAGGGACAATGTAGGCCCCCTCTGGAAGCTCTCGGGAGAACTCTCTACACAGGATTTGGAGAAGGCTGAGGTTCTGAATGACTTCTTTGCCTCAGTCTTCACTGGTAAAGGCTCTGACTGCACCACGCAAGTCTTGGAAGACAGATGCAGGGACTGTGAGAATGAAGACCTTGGGCCCACTGTAGGAGAGGATAGGGTTCGAGACCATCTTAAAATCAGAACGTACACAAGTCCATGGGTCCTGATGAAGTCCATCCGCGGGTCCTGAAGGAGCTGGCAAATGAAGTTGCTAAGCCACTGGCCATCATATTTGAAAAATCATGGCAGTCAGGTTAAGTTCCCGATGACTGGAAAATGGGAAATATAACCCCCATTTTCAAGAAGGAGAAAATGGATGACCTGGGGAATTACAGACCAGTCAGTCTCACCTCCGTGCCTGATAAAATCTTGCAGCAGATTCTCCAGGAAAGCATGCTAAGGCACATGAGAAACAACAAGGTGCTTGGTGACAGCCAGCATGGCTTCGCTAAGGGAAATCCTGCCTGACGAATTTGGTGGCCTTATATTATGGGGCTACGGAACTGATGGACAGGGGTAGAGCAGTTGATGTCATCTACTCTGACTTGTGCAAAGTGTTTGACACTGCCCCACACGACATCTTTCTCTTTAAATTGGAGAGACATCAGTTTGATGAATGGACCACTCAGTGGATAAAGAACTGGCTGGATATCTGCACACAAAGAGTTGTGGTCAATGGCTCAATGTCCAGCTGGAGACCAGTAACGAGTGGTGTCCCTCAGGGATCGGTGTTGGGACTGGCCTTGTTCAACATATGTGTCGGTGACATGGACAGTAGGATTGAGTGCGCCCTCAGCAATTTCCCAATGACACCAAGCTGTGTGGTTCGGTTGATATGCTGGAGGGAAGGAATGCCATCCAGAGGGACCTTGACACACTTGTAAGGTGGGCTGATGCCAACCTTATTAAGTTTAACCATGCCAAGTGCAAGGTCCTACACCTGGGTAGGGCAATCCCAGGCACAGCTACAGGTTGGGTAGAGAAGAGATTCAGAGCAGCCCTGCAGAGAAGGACTTGGGTGTGTTGGTTGATGAGAAAATGAGCATGAGCCGGCAGTGTGTGCTTGCAGCCCAAAAGGCCAACCATATCCTGGGCTGCATCAAAAGGAGCATGACCAGAAGGCCGAAGGAGGTGATCCTGCCTCTCTGCTCTGCTCTCGTGAGACCTCACTTGGATTATTGTGTACAGTTCTGGTGGCCTCCACATAAAAATGACATGGAACTGTTGGAACACGTCCAGAGGAGGACCACGAGGATGATCAGGGGACTGGAGCACCTCCCATATGAAGATAGGCTGAGAAAGTTGGGGCTGTTCAGTGTGGATAAGAGAAGGCTGCGTGGAGACCTCATAGAAGCCTTCCAGTATCTGAAAGGGGCCTATAGGGATGCTTAGGATGGACTGTTCATTAGGGACTGTAGTGGCAGGACAAGGGGTAGCAGGTTGAAACTTAAACAGGGGAGGTTTAGATTGGATATAAGGAAGAAATTCTTTGCTGTGAGGGTGGTGAGGCACTGGACTGGGTTGCCCAGGGAGGTTGTGAATGCTCCATCCCTGGCAGTGTTCAAGGCTGGGTTGGACAAAGCCTTGCATGGCATGCTTTAGTGTGAGGTATCCCTGCCCATGGCAGGGGGGTGGAACTAGATGATCTTGAGATCCTTTCCAACCCTAACTATTCTATGATTCTATGATTCTGTCTGAAATTTGAGTTGACAGTGCTACTAATGGCAGAAGTGGATACAGCAAATAGTTGCTCCTTTCACTGTGTTGCTCATTTGTAGGACTATTGAAAAACACAAAGAGGAGACTAAACAGTGTGTATATAAGAAATAATGTTGCACAGAGCAGTTTTTTATCCAAAGGTATATCATTAAAATGTCTTGCTGCAGTTGAAGTTTTTGCTGGAGGGACTTCTTACATTTTATTCAAGGTATTAAACTAGATTCCATCTCATCCTAATTGGGAAAGAAACTTGGACTTCCTTTCTTAATGCTGAACATTCAGTATTTCCTGTGATTTGTCAGGATGTGTGCTCTGGTTTATTGTTAATGAGGAAATTTACCCCCTGCACACCCTAAAGCTAGGGTACATACTGTTTTGGCTTGGGGGGATTTTCTTTTCTATCCCCTTTTCATTTGTAAGAATTGAGCTCATCTAAAACAGAGAAATATATAATACTGAGTGAGCTGGTGAGTTGGGAGTAGAAGAGAGTATCTCATCCTGATTAAATCTGTCTTGGTAATGTGCTGGGTTTGCGTTCTCTTGTACTTCTCAGATTTGCTATTTTCTATTTGAAAATAGTTTTCTGGTTGATAGGGAATGCTAAATGCTTCCTTTAACAAATTTTTATAAGTGATCATGTCATGGAAGAAACTTTCTGAATTCATTTATCAATTAGAAGCAATGTATCCATATGTTCTGCTTTTTTGACAAGTCCCTCTGAACCCACTACTCTCTGTAGGCAGAATGCAACTCAAACAAATACAGTGAACTTAAAGGGCCCAAGGAGGAAGGAGTGTTAATTAGAAGGGGTTCTCATCAGAGCGTGAAGAAACTTATTTTTCTTCATGGAAGTTTGTGGGCCTCCAACTTGAAGGGTTTATTTTAAGGGCATTATACTCCAGAACAGTTTAACTGTGGATCTGATGTAAAGTTGGAAACAGAGGTGATACTAGTTGTGAATGTGGAACTCTCTAGTTCCACTCTGCTTTGACACACTGTAAGTTTGGAGGTTTTTAACTTCATTTGGAAGAAGATATGTCTATCCAATTTGGGGAATTTGAAGGGCAAGGAGTAATAGCTACAATGTCTAATTATAACTTCTTTGGTATTCTTCTGGTTTTGGTGTGGTGGTTTTTTAGTTTTTTAATTCTGTGATCTTTAAGGCTTTGTGCTGTATGAATGTTAGTCTTTATGAAGACTTTTCACTTGCAACAGTTGTGCCAGTCTGGCTTTGGATAAACAGAGGCTTGTGGATGAGAGTAGAGAAGGGCATGTGTTTTTTTTTCCCCTCAAGACTTCTATTCATTTAAATTACTACAGGCATGAGATCCATTTTATGCCTGATGATGTTTTACTTCCTAAACCTTTGAAGATAGAACAAAGGGGACTTTTCAGATTTTTCTTCTTTCTAAGATCAGGCCTGCAAGGCAGCTTCTATTACATATTTTCAGAGGTCAGGCTCAGAACTGTCAGCTGGGTTGCTTCAGGCATCCTCAGCTGAAATTGTAATCAGTTAGCTCCGTTACAAAAAGAGGCAGCTTCAATAGTCTATGATGGATTCCCATGTCCCATCATCCTGGGTTCAGCAGTAGCAGTCATTTTTTCTCCTTCTTAGTAGCTGGTGCAGCACTGTGATTTTGACTTTTGGCCTGGGAACAGCACTGATAACACCGATGTTTTTAGTTACTGCTCAAATGTTTAGTCTGACCAAGGACTTTCTGAGTCTCATGCTCTGCCAGGGAGGAGAGGAAGCCAGGAGGAAGCAGTGACAGGACACCTGACCCAAACTAGCCAAAGAGTATTCCATACCACAGCACGTCATGCCCAGGATATAAACTGAGAGTTACCCGGAAGGGCTAGTTCACTGCGGGGTTGGGCTTGGTGTCGGTTGGCGGGTGTTATTGTATTTTCTTCCCTTGTTATTTCTCTTATCATTATTATTATTGGTGGTAGCAGTGGTGATTTGTGTTATACCTTAGTTACTAAACTGTTCTTATCTCAACCAGTGGGAGTTACATTCTTTTCGGTTCTCCTCCACATCCCTTCGGGAGCAGGGGGAGGGAAAGAAGGGGGGGAGGGGGAGTGAGTGGACAAGCTGTCTGGCATTGGTTAAACCACGACACAGGCACTAGCTTTCCTTATATCAAGCTCCCCCCCTTCTTTCTTTTACCTTTACAAATTCTTTTGCTATGTGACTCCATTTTGATCAAGAGATCTGAACCTTTTTAACTTGTTGTCTAGTCTTGTGTCTTTAGCAAGTTTTGTTTCTGTTATTGTAAGCTCGTACAGTTATATCCACGTAACCACACCTATGATTTGAGAAAGCCAGTACATATACCACAGGGGCAACCAGAGGTGCTGTACAGAATGGGAAAAATGCACAGCAAGAAAAAGCCTAAAAAGTTTTGTTGCTTGTTTTATTTTTTTTCTGGCTCACAACCTGCAACTACTCTTCTTAGGGAATCAAGCAACATTTCTTTCTCAAATCTGTCCTGTCACTGTTCAGTTTAGATTGCCAGAAGCTGCACCAAATGCTCTGACATACTTTTTCTGTGGCATCCCCTTGCTGTTCTCCCTTAGTCCCTAGCAAATGCTCCTTGCCTTTTTCCTCCTGTGGTTCTCCTCCACATCCCTTCGGGAACAGGGGGAGGGAAAGAAGTGGGGGAGTGAGAGAGAGGCTGCATGGCTGATTTATGGCTGACTAGGTTTAAACCATGACAGTTTGTTATTTTTTCCCCCTAAGCCATGTGCTTATTCTCTTATTCTCATCAGTCTCTTGTTCAGTGATGCTTATAAGCATATTTTCATTTCCTTGAGAGAAAAAGATATCTCTGCATCTTCCCTTGCTATAGAGGGAAAATGTTGCTTGCTTTGCAGGTTTTCTGCGTTGTGATTCCTTGAACTAGTTAAAGTCTGTTATAGCCTCATCTCTCTATGATGCATCATCTTAAGGTCCTTTTGAACCCTAACCATTCTATGTTGCTATATAAAAAAATAAAACACACCCTGGTTTTTCTTGTCCATTTGCATCAGTGTCATTTGCAAGGCATTATGTGATGTTATGCAAATACTCGGCCCCCAGAATTGGAGGGGTGTGAGGTGGAAGTATGGATTGAGAGCTGTCTCTTTCTTTTTGACTTTTATATCTAATTCTATCCAAATAGACTTCTTGGGAGACTGTAGGGGGAAAGAAGAAAAGCCTTGGAAAAGAAAGTTCAGAGAACAGAGAAAAACGAGGGGACAGAGAAGTGAGTCGCGGACGGGGAAGTTCCAACAGACGGGGAAGTTCCAACAGATGGGGAAGAGGAGGCAGCCATGGCCAAGAGTGTACGTATAGGGGTTCATGTCTAAAGATTCCAACATTTCTTGCAACTGAAACTGAGTTGAGAGCAAATGCTCAGTGCTGAAGGGATCATAACTTGTTTTTGTGACAGGTATGCTTGATCTGGTTTGGAGATGGTCTGTGCTTGTTCAGACACTCAATTTAATTTAAATTTCTGTCCTTTTTTGAGTAATTTATCTTGTACAAATTGCTGTTCTTTATGTAAGTTTTAGAATCTAGTCTTTGTAAGACTGCTGGAGAGCAAGTATGTTCCTGCACAGCTGATATACCTTTTTGTTTCTTTTAATGAAAACATTATTCAGCTTTGTCTCCATCTCCTTTTATGAGTGGGAGAACCTGAAGATGTTCTCATCTTCTCATAAGAGGAAGACTGGGATCAGTATTAATCTCTAGCATATATTACTCACATAAGCCAACCAAAGGCGAGTTTCTACAACAGAGAAAATTCTTTGAGTTTAAATATTTAAACACTTGCTACAGTTTATACAGGTGCATCTGATATTTCCAAGTTAGGTAGCATCATGTTAGATTGCCACTGAATACATGTTGATTTTTTGTGTAAGTATTATCAGCAGTATCAAAGTTGTATGCACTGCCAGTAAGGGTCATACACAGCACTGATAGATGAGCAGAGAAATGGAAATAAAGAAAATATGTTTAGCTTTTCACTAAATTGCAGGAAAAATATTTACAATATTAGCTAACTCTTCGAATTCATTATTGGAATATATTAAAGTATTGTGCCAGTGAAGACACTGTGAATTTAAGCTATGCTTAGAAAAAAATGAAATTGGATCAATCAAAATATATGTGAGGGGCAAAATTTTTGCAAGAGCCAGATGCTGATTATCTCTTTGTAAACTGAAATTCAAGATTTGTCAACCATCTGAAAAATCTTTATATTTGCTTCCCAGTCCGAGCCCAAGCAGGTGAGATGGTGCCGTTGGTGTGGGACTGGCACTGATTTCATGTCCTGAAATGGAACTCTCCCATTTATTTCTTTAAATGCTTCTTTTTAAGCATTTGTTGGTTATCCTTTATTCCATAAGTGCTTCAGCCACCTTTGATTTAGGTACATTCCTCTCACTTTTATCCCTTTTCATGTCTTGGTCTCAAAACAAAAGAATTGACGCAAATCATCTTTATGGTAATTTCTTGTGTAGCAGGCTGGTGTGCTCTGGATATGGAGAGCTGTTTTCTCAGATCAACTAATGGCAGCCTCCTCTGAAATGGGAGTGCAGTGGGCTCCTCAAGATGTTCCTTGGCAACAGGAGAGTACAAGATTTCATCTCTAGGACTCCTGGGGGAGGGATTTGATATGTACTTGTGCTGTTTCTTTGGGGTGGATCTGGTTGTCAGGCTTGCCTTCTGGTTTTGGTACCCACTCAGAGAAAATAAAAGCCACCTTAGAAGCTTTTTGGTAAGAGAAGGAATTTGGCATGGAAGAGTTGATAAGGATAAGTGTGGAAAGAGAATACTGTGGAGTATTGGGTACAACTCTGATCCTATCCTGTAGAAGAGATAGGAAAGATGTTGAAAATGGATTTGATATGGAATCAAGGGATGTGTAGTTGGTTTGGATTTTCACAGGTTGAAGTGGAAAGAGGCTTGTTTTTTCTTAAAGCAGGAAGAATGAAATTGAGTGGCCTAGGTACAGTGCAGATTGTGTAGGGAAGTGGGTATTAAATGAGTTAAATTGATAAAGTGCACAGCAAAGCTAAGTTACTGAAGTAATGTGTGACTTGACTTTGGAAACATTTTGCATTCAGAGGAGTCACTTCTCTTATGAATGACTAGTAAGGAGTCAATCAAAGACAGGCACATCCTTATGCAAGGACATGTAGCTTCCAGAGGGCTGCAAGAATGACTTTCTTGTGCCTGTGAATCAAATGGGTTGTGCAGATAGGTAGCATTGCAGAGTAGGGTGTGGTATAGTTCACAGCTACAGTTTTTGGTATGTTAGTGCTGTTAATTGATGGAATGTAAGTTTTTTGGAATTTGCTGTATAAAATAATCCTTTATACTCACATTATAAATATCAAGGCAGATTTTTTCTAAATACTTGGGTAATCTCAAATGCAGTCCATTATTTACTTTGTAAGCTTATACACTGCTTTTGTTGTTAACAGTGTAGCTCTCTAGATGAATGGCATATGTCTCAAGACAAAGCACTTAATCATCAAATCAAACTGACATATCTGACCGAAGAAAAAGGAAAAACTTCAATTTCTGTTCAGTGGCTTAGTGTACATAGAATTACTATATCTCTAACAAATATCTTAGACTGTGCATTCATGTGTGCAAATTATCTTAATGAAGTGTTCTCAACCGTTTGTGACAAACTTGTTGAACAACTTCACGTTCATTGTAGACTCAAATTTAAACAGGGGAGATTTAGGTCAGATATAAGGAAGAAGTTGTTTACTGTGAGGGTGGTGAGGCACTGGAACAGGCTGTCCATGTGTCATGGTTTAAGCCCAGCAGATAACTCAGAACCACACAGGTGCTCGCTCGCTCCCCCCCTTCTTCCCTCCCCCCTGCTCCTGGAGGGATGGGGAGTGGAACTGAAAGAATGTAAATCCCACAGATTGAGATAAGAACAGTCCAGTAACTAAGGTATAATAAAAAAATACTACTACTACCACCAGTAATAATAATGATAAGGGAAATAACAAGGGGATAAAATATAAAACTTAAAAGGGAAGGGAAAAAAAACAACAGTAAACTCAAGTGATGCACAATACAGTTGCTCACCACCCGCTGACCAATACCCAGCCCAACCCGAGCAGTGATCTGAGTCTTCTGGGTGACTCCCCTCAGTTTATATACTGGACATGATGTGCTGTGGTATGGAATACCCCTTTAGCTAGCTACTGGAGAGGGTCCAGTGGAGGGTAGCAAGGATGATCAAGGGTCTGGAGCATCTCTCTTATGAGGAGAAATTGGAGCATCTCTCTTATGAGGAGAAATGTGTGCCTGTTTAGTTTAGAGAAGACTGAGAGGGGGATCTCATTAATGCATATAAATATCTTAAAGGGGGGTACCAGGAGGGTGGTGCTAGACTCTTTTCAGTGGTGCCCAGCAATAGGATGAAGATCAATGCCCATAAACTAAAGCACAGGAAGTTTCACCTTAACATGAGGAAGAACTTCTTTACGTTGAGAGTGGCAGAGCACTGGAACAGGCTGCCCAGGGGGGTTGTGGAGCCTCCTTCTCTGGACCTACCTGGATGCATTCCTGTGTGTCCTGGGTTCAACTGTAGCAGTCATTTTTCTCCTTATTACCTGGTGCAGTGCTGTGTTTTCAACTTTAGTCTGAGAACAGTGCTGGTAACACACTAATGTTTTTAGTTGTTGATAAGTAATGTTTATTCCAATCAAGGACTTTTTAAGTCTCATGCTCTGCCAGTAAGGAGGGGCATGGGAAGCTGGGAGGAAGGAGAGACAGGACACTTGACCCAAACTAGCCAAAGGGGTTTTCCATACCACAGCATGTCATGCCCAGTATATAAACTGGGGGGAGTTACCCAGAAGGCCCAGATTGGTGCTTGGGTTGGTCTGTTTATCGGTTGGTGGGTGATGAGCAATTGTATTGTGCATCACTTGTGTTTGTTTTCCTTTTCTCTTCTTAGTTTTATATTCTCTCCCCTTGTTATTTTCCTTATCATTATTATTATTGGTGGTAGTAGTCATGGCTGACTTCGCGAACGAAGATTTGGGAAGGGCTTTACCCACGCTTACTACAAGCATGCTGATGACTAAGAAGGCCAATGTGAGATAGGCAAATCCTGCTGCAGAAAGCACAGCAAAAGTTCTCCTTGGGTGGTATAGGCGGGGTGCGATTCTTTCTACGTTGTCTTTTCCCCTCTAGACTAGTTCTGCATGAATTCTCAACAGCATTTTGTATGGTGTGTCTCCAAGTCTCCCAATTGGAGGCCAAGGTGAACCACTGATGGTAGTCAGTATGGCCAAGGCTAAGGTATTGTTTCAGGGAGTCCTTATATCTCTTCTTTGGGGCACTTCTCTTGCAGCAACCGGTGGCAAGTTCACCGTGAAACACAATCGTAGGGACGCAGTGATCCTTCATCCTGGAGACGTGCCCTGCCCAGTGCAGCTGCAATTTCAGCAATATGGCCTCGATACTGGTGACCCCTGCCTGTTTGAGGACAGTGACATTAGACACATAGTCAGTCCAATGGATGTTTAGAATTGTACGGAGGCAGCGCTGATGAAAGCGTAGGAGGAGTCGCAGGTGATGACGGTAGATGACCCATGATTCAGAGCCATATAAAAGAGTAGACAATACAATGGCTCTATGGACACTGATTTTTGTACATTTCTTCAGGTGTTTATTGCACCAGACTCTTTTATGGAGGTTTCCGAAGGCTCTATATGACTTTGCAATTCTGTTGTCTATCTCTTTGTCGATTGTGGCATCTGAGGAAATAATGCTTCCCAGATAGCTAAACTGCTGAACTGACTTAAGCTCTGACTCTCCAATGGTAATGTGGGGATGATGGTAATCTTCTTGTGGTGCAGGTTGGTAGAGAACTACTGTCTTCTTCAAGCTGACTTTCAGCCCAAAAAGCTCAGCCGCCTCCCCAAAGCAAGATGTTAAATGCTGCAGAGCTGCTTCTGTGTGGGCAACAAGGGCGGCATAATCAGCAAAAAGCAGTTCACGGACAAGATGATTTAGGGTCTTAGTGTGGGCCTTCAGTCGCCTTAGATTAAATAGGCTACCATCGGTACGATATTGAGTATGAATGCCATTTTGTTTGTCGAGATCTACTGTAGCCCTTTGGAGCATCATGCTGAAGAAGATTGTGAATAATTGTAGTAGTAGTATTTTTGTATTACACCTTAGTTACTGGACTGTTCTTATCTCAACCTGTGGGATTTACATTCTTTCGATTCTCCTCCCCATTCCTCCAGGAGTGGGGGGGAAGAAGCAGGGGGGAGTGAGTGAGCAGCTGTGTGATTCTCAGTTACCAGCTGGACTTAAACCACAACAGTGTGTAACCTGCTCTAGGAGGCCCTGCCTTGGCAGGGGTGGTTGGACTGGATGATCTCCAGAGGTCCCTTCCAACAATAATGTTTCTGTGTGCAGCTGCAGCTAAGAAAGCCAACAGGATGCTGAGTTAAGTCAACAAGGGCATCACCAGCATAAAGATGTCATCCCACTCTACTTAGCACTTGTCAGGCCACACCTGGAATACCATGTTCACTTTTGTTTCCTGCTGTGCAAAAAAGTTGTTGACAGGCTGGAGATGGTTCAGAGAAGGGCCACAAATATTATCAAAGGACTGGGAAGACTGCCGTATGAGGATTGTCTGAGAGAACTGGGTTTGGTCAGCCTTGTGAGAAGGTGGTTCACGGGACACCTTATCACTGTGTTCCAGTATTTAAAGGGTGTCTACAAAGAAGCTGAAGGCTCCCTTTTTACAAAGAATCACGTGGAAAGGATGAGTGGTAGAAGTTATTCCCAGGGAGATTCCAGTTGGACACAGGAGGAAAATTTTTCGCACTTTTAAGATTTGGCTGGACAGGGTGCTGGGACATCTAGCCTAGGTCATGCTTTGCCAAGACAGGTTGGACCAGATGATCCTTGAGGTTCCTTCCAACCTGGTATTTTATGATTCTGTCACCCAAAGTTGGGATAATAAAACTCCTTAATACCAATGTAATGTTAAGAAGCAGGCACTTCTTTATTGCAACTCTGGGTGCTAGGTGAAATTTTCACAAATCAAGCACACTCCATGCCAATTTTGTCATTACATTTACACACAAAAATTACAAGTTAGTCCACTCCCAGTTACAATGATTGGTTAGCAATTTGCATATAATTATAGTATCTGCTGTGTCATTCTCTTCTATTACTGTGCTTGCACGGAGGAAGTGTCCTTCACCTGGGCAAGGGTCTTCTCGGTCTGTGGGTGTATTTTTTAGTATCATAATGTGAGTATAATGAGGATAGTTAATCTAAAGGACACCCTAATCTTAGTTTGTTGCCAAGTTGGCTGGCTAGATATCTACCTTGCCAGGTTGTCAAATAATTCATCCTATATACCGTAGACCCTAGGTGCTCTGGTTTTGGTCTGGAGAGTAAGGACTAAGGCTAACATGTTACCGAGAACAGGGACTTAAAGCAACACAGCGGCAGATTTCAAGTAACACAGCAACCCATGCTAACATAAAAGCTAACTTCTTAAATCAAGGTGTTCCTATAGCTACCTGTTTCACAAACAAACATAATATAGAAAGATTCAATAAAACTTAAGATAATCTGCAGCAATTCTCTGACTTACCACATAATTTTGTCATTAAAATAAGCATCACTTTGCTCTCAGTCTGCAGCTCCTTGTAATACAAAATACTATTCATAGTCTTCCTCAAAGAAATCAACAAACTGGAGAAACCTCAGATATTGAGGTCCTAAAGAGGAGGAGATTTAAAAACAAAACAAAAAATAAAAACAAACAAACAAAAACGCCACCCCAAGACAAAAAACTATATAGAAAGATGCTGCATATAAGAAATAGTTTCTAACAGTTTCTGTAGACGTGTGCTTTATGGATGATTAATAAATAAGTTTTCATGCGTTGTTGGTGCTATGCGACATGGGAAAATAAAGCCATTCAGTGTATCAAGAAGCTTGTAAACAGGCTGGTAGCTTAAAACTGGAGGCAACAAATACTTGTTGAAATAGAAATTAATGTTCTTGCATGTGATAACAAGGTGGTTTGAGTAATTTGAATAGGGTAATTTTCATGTCAGTAACTGATTAAGGGGGAAGCAGAAGGAATGTGTAGTCAGGTTCGCAAAAGCACAGGAGGGTAGGGGGAGCAGGTGGGCTGAGTCAGAAGGAAGTGAATGGAATATTTAAACTTTCTCCTTATAGATAAAAAGTGGTGGGGAATTTCTTGATAGATTGGAGTACACAGGGAGTCTGGGATTCTAGAGCATCTTAGCAAGAGTGAGTAATTATAGACTAAGTTTTGAACTATCTCTAATGATTTTGCAATAGCTATTTCATATGGGGTGGGTCTTTAGGTAAGTCCTTTTGGCATTTGGAGCTCCTTCACTAGATACAGAAAAGATAGCAAAGAAATTTCAAGTCCTGCTGGAAGATGTACTCTTAGATGAACTTTGGCTTACTTGTGTGTGTTAGGGAAAAATTTTTCTGTGAGGAAATTTGGGAAGTAAATGATATTTAAGTATGGTATTTTCTAATGTGACAGACTAGTGATTGGTGGCTCTTCTGCTGTTGCTGTTACTTGTTAAACAGTGTTTTCTCTCCTAGTGTTTGGACGTGGCAGAGGGAGAGGAGCAGGGAGGTTTTCAGCCCAAGGCATGGGGTAAGAAACATGCAGAGCACAGATTTTGGCAATGGTCAAACTCAGTAGCAATATTAATTAACAATATTAATATTGTCTCTGTATGTATTAATATTGCTATGTGTTTGATATCCCAATATGGATGCAAAAAATCATAGATTTGTTAGAGGATTAATGGATTATTTTTGTTTTGTAATCATACACACCTATATAAACCTAATGTAAGTTTACCCAATGTCAGTATCTCATACTTGGAGAACCTATTTGTACCTATCAGTAGCAGCCACATAGTGCCTTGGAGGCTGAAAGTTCTGTGTCTCCTTTTTATCTATGTCTGCTCATAGAGGAAAAAAAATCTTTGAAGCAAAAACTATGTGGAAATTGAGATGTTAAATTTAATACAACTTCAGCTAAAAATGTTGACACTTGTGTTCAATGAATGACCCATGTGTTCTCTTCCATTTCTTAACTTTAAAAACTCTAGGACATTTAACCCTGCAGACTATACGGACTCTTCTGCCACTGATGGCTTTGGGACAAAATCAGATATTTGGGAGACTGGTCAGAATGATGCAGATGATGGAACTGGTAAGATGCTTCAAGAAGTGGAAGGATTAAAATGAAGAACTGTAGCAAATTGCAGTTAAAATAACCATTCTATTAGTGTTCAGTTAACTTCTGAAAATGTAAATACATCTCAGGTGACACAAATATTAGTTCACTTTTATAGCTTAGTTGCTACTGATATGCAGAGTACATGCTGTAGCCTGAGTGACTCTGGTTAGAATGAAGGGAAGGCAGTTTGCTTCTTTTGTTTGTTTGTTTTTGTTTGTTTGTTTTTAGTTCTAACAATCCCTGGAGAGACAAAGGGATTTGAAGAGTTATTGGAAGAACCTTGATTGTGAAGAAATGTTTAGATATCTGAAGTACTGCTTAAGAGCTTATCTAATGTAGTTAAGGAGTGTAAGTTCTCAGTGACACTGGGATAGCTTTGGCAGCCCCACCTGTACCACACAGGAATGTAAGGATGTGAGGTTGTGATGGAGGAGAGTTCCAAGATCTGGCAGCTTTGAAAATAATTATTAACTAAAGCATGAGTAGGCACTTGAATGGAAGCCAAAAGAACAGTCTGTCTGAAGATAGAGGCAGCTGTGGGTTTTTTTGTATGAAGTTTCAAGTGTGAAGTATGCACTCCCAGCTAAGGGGAAGACACAGACATAGTTTGGAAAGGAACCACTTAGCAATCATCTCATAGCAATTCAGAAATGAAGAATGTGACCTGCTTGTCTATGATTGGGAAAACAGGATACCTTGCTGCTTCCCGTACTTTGTGATGAGATGAAGACAAAGGAAACCCAGTGTCAGGATGGAGAAATTAATGTATGTTATTGTCCACAACTGGGAACCTTCAAGTGATAGGAGAATTTTTTTTAATTTTTTTTATTTTTATACACCAGCAAAGGGGAACTTTTCTGTTCTCTTCATTGCTGAAGCCTATTCAGATGATTTTTCATCAACCTCTGTGTCAAGGGTGGAAAGAAATGATGCTGGAGGGCAGTGTGTGCTTTGAACTCTGCTGTGAGCCTCTTGAGATACAGCTTCATTTCATACAAGCTATTCTGCACTTAACCAGAGAAAACAATAACAGGCTCCGAGTTTAGGAGGGGTTATTAGGCAGCTGTTTTGTCACTCTGAGTGCTTTCTAGTCCAGTGTTGGAGTGGCACTGAGTATATTAATGGTTATTGAAAGGGAGCTCTTTTGCCAAATTATGGCATCTTTCCAAGGAATTACTTTTGAAATTACTTGGTGCTATAGTGCAAACAGAAATGCACCTTTAACTTTCGCTCATGCTAGTTTATCAAATAAACTTATCAGGTAATGGGTTAGAAGGACACCTAATGGCTTGAAAATTCCCCAAGGGATACTGATACTGTTGTTTGCTATATGGTAGATATGGTAGTGGCAGGCAGGGTATATTGTCACAAGTAGTGCAGAAGCAATAAGGTTAACTAATTAAAGACAACATACCAGAAAGGCATGGGGAGACTAAACCAGAGGTAGAAAATTCATTTGTTTAATGAATGCAACTGTAAGGCTGTGGCTCACAAATAAGTGACTTTTGCTCTACTTCCCAAGTGAGCTTGAATGTTCGTGACCCTCCCTGCTAACTCTAGTTAGCCTTCATGTGCCTCTCCTATGGCAACCTATCTTCCTTCTTGTAGGCATCTCTTCAGTCTTCAGTAATGGAAGACTCCTCAGTCTTTGGTAATCGAAGAATTCTGCCTAGGAATAAGAGTAGTTTGGTGCGGGTAAACTGATTCCTATAAGAGTACAAATGTGTCTACATAAGGGGTTTGCTGCTAACCAGGTTGGTGGAAATTCAAAATGTACAAGTTGACATGTGGAATTTCTTTTTGGATGTCAAGTGTGTTTTCGCTGTTAGGTTTTGTATGTGTCACTGGGAACTTCACTGAACTTCAGTAATGCAATTTAAGGTATGTATGGAAAGTTGGGGAGCATAGTATGGAGAAGAAGGTGTGAGAAGGCATTTGTGAATTTTCCCTAGTCCTGTCAGATGATGGTTCATAGGGGTATAAATGAGTGGGTGTCAGTGTAGGGAGTTCCTGCAAAATCATTTGGTTGGTGGAAATTTAAACTAGTTAAGTGTGAATGTTCTTTTTGGGTGCTAAGTGCCTTTTTGCTGATAATCTTAATTTACTTTCAGTGCAAATGAAAAAGACACCATAACTAACAAAACAAAAATGTCTATGTATATGACTATAGGAAGAGTGTTTTATTTTAGTGTTTCTTCTTTAGACAAGCTGTAGGAATGTCAGAATAAGTCCCTGAGCCAAAAATATCTCTTTTTAAAGAGTAGGCTTTGAAATGGAATAATTTAATTTTGTTCAAGTCGGAAGCACATTCAGCCTTGTGATGGAAAGCATCTTGTGGTCTATTAGAGGAGGCTGCAACTGGGGTAGTAGTTTTAAAGCAGAAGAGATGGAAGCAGGGATAAGGAGGAGTGGCAGACAAGGTGTGGGGCTGGAAGCAGGTTGTACAAAGTTGAGCTGGTGGTTTGGCTTGTTAATCACAAATACTAGTTTTCAGTTGTGGTTTTTTGGTCGGGTTTTTTGTTTGTTTGGTGGTTTGGTTTGTTTTTTTATTTATTAATTTATTTCTTTATTTTATTATTTACAATGCTGTTACCTTAGTTACAAATCAACAGTCCCAGTAATAAATCACAGAATCACAGAATCCCAAGGGTTGGAAGGGACCTCAAAAGATCATCTAGTCCAACCCCCCTGCAAGAGCAGGGTAACCTAGAGTACATCCCACAGGAACTTGTCCAATCGGTCCTTGAATATCTCCAACGTAGGAGACTCCACAACCCCCCTGGGCAACCTGTTCCAGTGCTCTGTCACTCTCACAGTAAAGAAGTTTTCCCTGATGTTCACATGGAACCTCCTATGCTCCAGTTTACACCCATTGCCCCTTGTCCTATCACTGGACATCACTGAAAAAAAACCCTAGCTCCATCATCCTGACACTCACCCTTTACATATTTGTAAATGTTGATGAAGTCACTCCTCAGTCTCCTTTTCTCCAAGCTAAAGAGACCCAGCTCCCTCAGCCTCTTCTCATAAGAGAGATGTTCCACTCCCTTAATCATCTTTGTGGCTATGAGCTGGACTCTTTCAAGCAATTCCCTGTCCTTCTTGAACTGAGGGGCCCAGACCTGGATGCAATATTACAGATGCGGCCTCACCAAGGCAGAGTAGAGGGGGAGGAGAACCTCTCTTGACCTACTAACCACACCCTTTCTAATACACCCTAGGATGGAATTGGCCTTCTTGGCCACAAAGGCACATTGCTGGCTCATGGTCATCCTCCTATCCACCAGGACCCCCAGGTCCCTTTCCCCTTCACTACTTTCCAGCAGGTCAACCCCCAACCTGTACTGGTACATGGGGTTGTTCTTCCCCAGATACAAGACTCTACACTTGCCCTTGTTGAATTTCATCAAGTTTCTCCCCACCCAACTCTCCAGCCTATCGAGGTCTTGCTGAATGGCAGCACAGCCTTCTGGTGTGTCAGCCACTCCTCCCAGTTTAGGATCATCAGCAAACTTGCTGAGGGTACACTCAGTTCCCTCATCCAGGTCACTGATGAAAATATTAAACAGCACTGGTCCCAGCACCGACCCCTGAGGTACTCCACTAGTCACAGACCTCCAGCTAGATTCTGCCCCATTGACTCTCTGCCTTCTTCCCTTCAACCAGCTCTTGATCCACCTCACTACCTGATCATCAAGCCCACACTTCCTTAGCTTATCTATGAGGTTGCTGTGGGAGACAGTATCAAATGCCCTACTGAAATCAAGAAAAACCACATCTACTGCTCTACCATCATCCATCCACCTAGTTACTTCCTCATAGAAGGCTGTAAGGTTGGTCAAAGATGACTTTCCCTTGGTAAAACCATGTTGGCTGCTCTTAATGACCCCCTCATCCTTGATATGTCTAGAGATGGTGTCAAGAATAAGTTGTTCCATCACCTTTCCAGGGATGGAGGTAATGCTGACCGGTCTATAATTACCCAGGTCCTCCTTCTTCCACTTCTTATAGACTGTCGTGACACTTGCCATCCTCCGATCCTCAGGAACCTCTCCTGTTTCCCACAACTTACCAAAGATGATGGAGAGTTGCCGAGCAATGACCTCTGCCAGCTCCCTCAGCACCCGTGGGTGTATTCCATCCGCACCCATCGATTTATAGATGTCCAGGCTGCTTAACTGATCCTTAACCCAATCCTCATGTACCAAAGCAAACTCCTCCTTTGTCCTGACTCCTTCTGGGGCTACAGGAATCTTGGGCCTCTGGGGAGAGTCTGCAGGAGTAAAGACAGAGGCAAAGAAGGCATTCAGCACCTCTGCCTTAAGTTACTAATGTGTAGTTACTATAGATGTGAATGTATATATATATGGAAATCCATAAAACCTGCAGTGGGCTAGTGAGGATGTCAGATAAGAGTATACACTGAGGAAGTACGGGATGGAAATCCCTCTTTATTTCTCATTACCCAGTCCTGTTTCTTCTTTCATCTTAGGAAAAAAAAAAAATTAGCTCATGATAGCAACTTGAAAATTAGTCTTTGATCTGCAGTTACATTAAAAAAGGAGATAACTGGGTGACTACCCAGAGAAACAAAAACAGTTTTGCATATAAAAAAGTTTTCTGAACTTTGTGAATTTTTGAGTATTCACTAAATATTTCCTCTTCAAGCCAGTGCTGGGAAAGGATTGACATCAACATTTTAAAACATATACACTATATTTTTAAAAATGTAGTTGGCCCTATATGTGCTCTGAAAGTGCTCTAGAACTTGTCCTGAATTGTTGCAGGCACCAGAGGATTTGTGATAGCCTGAATGAAAGGTGTTTCTAGGTGAACCATCATGCAATCTTATAGAAAAGCTAGCTGGTTCTGTGGAAGTAAAATTTAGCAATGATGGTTGAAATAAAAAAAGAGAGTAAAGGGCACATCTTTAATGGTTCATAACATTTAAATTTAGATGTATTCTAAATAAT